GCTCCCCTCAGCAGTGTACTTCGTCGATCTGCCTGTTCTGCTCCCCGCTCTGTCTCTGGTGAATCCTCTCACCCTCCGCATCTCTGGCCTGCACCTCAGTTCTATAAGAATAAATAAATCTTAAAAAAAAATTTTGATAAGACTTATTTATGCATACAAGAACTGGGGCACAGGCCAAAAGTGTGATGGGTGAGAGGATTCACCAGAGTGCGGAGCAGAAAAGGCAGATCTAATGAAATACACTGCAGAGGGGAGCAGTAGGCCCGTCAGGAGAGGTCTGCTGCGCCATGTGAGTCGGCTCCCTGATCGGGGATTGAACTCGTGGCTGCTGATAGCTTCATAGTGCTGTGCTTTAACCTGCTGCACCACCGGGGAAAGACCTCACCAGCTCCTTTTATACTGACCTGTGGTTTGAATCTAAAAGCAGGAATATTTTACTGACAAAGCTCCATGAAATTTTGATTTGAATTTTGTCTTACATAGCTAGTGGCAAACTTAGAAACATTGATTAACCTATATTAGGTTTATTTCAAATGTTGGGTACATTCTAACTACTTAGGAGATGAATAGCCATTTTTAAAAGTCAAAATTCAAAACCTGATGCACTGACTTCCTATTTGTGATTATTTGCCAGTGAATTCAGCCTTAAAAGTCCCAAGAGAATTGAGTCCAAGTTGCAAGCCAAAAGGAGGCCTATTTGTTGATTAGTTCCCTGGATGTGTAGTTATCAGTTGGCATGCATTCATTTAATCGGCATTCAAGTGCCCCAAACAGGCCTGTTACATCATTTGGAAGCAGTATGTTAACATCTGAAATTTTTGGTAATTGTTTCCATAGCGTTCTTGATCTACTTCCCAGGTAACTCAGTCACTGTAAGTGTGAACTCCACGGCATTCAGCACGGTCAGAGTTGTGCTTATCACCAGCACCAATTTCCATCACCTCATCTTGCCTGATCACTTTAATTTTGATTTCTCTAGGCAAACTTGGCTTTTCCATATTTTTGGTAAAAGATATGTGGATTTTTCACTTATTGTTTCGAACTACACATTATGGCACTTTTGACTATTAAAATTGGTTTATATGCTACCTTAAACCCTTTTTCCCCACATGCCTGGATGGGTCCTCAGGCTGAGAGACCAAGAGTCTTACCTGTGAAATTAAGCCCGGGCTCCTCAGCAGAGCTGGGCCCAGCCATATGCATCATCCCTTCACACTCCACATTTCATAAATAAACCCAGGACCCTGTTGCTTCACCAGCCCCAACTAAACAAACACACCAATGAAACTTCTCCCCCCTGAAAAAGCCCAGGTTACTGTCTTACAGGTATGTGCAAATTGCCTCTGAATTTGGTGTTTCAGCTGCTGTGAGGAGTGAACTGTACATCCTACTGCTGCTTGTGAAGCCACACTGGAAGAGATGCCGGATGGGGGAATCAAGTCCAGGTCAGAAAGACCATGACTGTACCCAGACTGTCCAATTTCAGCATTGACTAAAATCCATTTTTAAGTTTCTTTTAAAAAAATATTTCTTTTTGCATAGCAGAACTGGGGTGTAGGCCAGAGGTGCAGAGAGGTGAGAGGGTTCACCAGACAGAGTGAGGAACAGCAATGAGACAGGAGAGATCCGCTGTGTCATTGTGGGCCACCTCTCAGATCTGGGATCAAACTCAGGCTGTCACCATGGTAGTGCTGAGCTTTCAGAGTGCCCCCTCCTGTTTTTCTTTGCTGCCGCTTTGGCCTTTCTTACCTGTCAAAATGAGAGAACGTCAGGGCATGGCCCTAAACCCCCCTTTCTTCTTCCACTATGCTTGTATTATTGGAAATCACATCTATTTGCAACATTTCACAGTCCAGCTATATGCCAATGACTCACCCTTGTCAGGGACTGTTCACTGCTTAATCCAAATTGGGGAGGTTTGACGGGGGTTTCTGGAAATATTTTCCCCTTGTTCTTAAGAGTGAAGAATGGAAGTAAGGCTCACATTCCCAACAGACATGAATGAGGGGTGTTTGGCCCTTGGTGCTGCTATAACCCGCTAATAATCATGGGAGAAACCACTGGGCTAGAGGGAGCCCAAGTGAGCTGCTCAAGAAACCACCTGATGCCTACTCTCTGTTATGTGAATCAATACATCCCTTATTTTTTAAACCACAGTCATATTTCTGTCCTTTGTAGCAGAAAGCATGCTCATGAATACAATCACTAAACACACGTCAAAACAGACTGCTCTTTGGTGCTCTCGGCTTGCCTGGGGAAATGCTGTCACGTATCTTTACTTGGTTCTCTTGTAAACAATTCAAACTCAAGAGGTCCAAAGCCCAACTCTTAATCTTTCCCCCCAAATCTCCACTTCCTCTAGTATTTTCATTATGGTAAATGGCAAGCCTATCTCGCCAAGTGTTCCTGCCAGAAGCACGTGGGTTACCCAAGATTTCTTTCCTCTTTTCTCTCCATTCAACCCAATAGAGACCAGCCAAATCCACCACTAAAATATTCACTGGATCCATCCACTTCTCTCCATTTCCTCTGCAGCCATGTTAGCCTGTATTGCCCTAGATTTCCCTTGAATGTCTATAGTGATCTTAGAGGACCTCCTCATCTCTCTCCCACCCCCAATCTATGTTCCCGACAGCTGCCTATGACAGCTTTCTAATCAGTTTTTATTTTCTGTAATGTAATAGTTAAAAGAACAGACTGTAGAGTAGGATGGATGGACCAGGTATCTATCACAAAATTACCCCAAACCTTAGTCACTTAAAACATTTAATGTTTCTGTGAGTTGGGAATGCAGGTGACTTGGCTCAGGGATGTCTCTGCTCAGGGTCTATCAGGAGGCTGCAATGAAGGTGACAGCCAGGGCTGCAGTGGTTTTGGAAAACTTGACAGGAGCAGAAGCTGCATCCAAACTCACTCATTTGGGAATTGGCAGGATTCTGGGCTTCACGGGATATTGGCTTGAAGTTACTTTTTTTTTTTAACCTAAAGATTTATTTATACATACAGAACTGGGGTACAGGACAGAGGTACAGGGGCAGTGAGAGGATTCACCAGAGTGGGGAGCAAACAGGCATAGCGATGAGGTACACTGCTGAGGGGAATGCAGGTGGGTCAGGAGATCTGAGGTGCCATGTGGGTCACTCTTCTGCTGGGGATGGAACTCATGCTGAAGTGGCTGCTGTGCTTCAACCCGTTGTGCCACCAGGGAAAGCCCTTGAAATTACTTTCAATTCATTGCCCTCAGGGTCATGCCGGTTGCCCACGTAGGCAGTAGGCTTCCATCACTCATTCATCTGTGCTCAGCAGTGCTTAGCACAGACTGTTTCCTAGTTATCTTGATCAAGTGGAGTTTCAGTTGTAAATGTGTCTATGTCCTGCTGTTGCAGGGACATTCTAGTGGAGATTGGCTTGTATCACTTCCCTATTCTACACACCCCTCAATGGCTTCCATCCCAGCGGGGATAGAAGCTGGGCTCCTGAAAATACCCAAAGGCTTGGCTAATGTCCAGTCTCCTGTCTCTCCATTCAGTTTGATGCTCACATTTCCATAGCCCTATCAAACATCTCTGAATGTTCAGGTTCTTTCCCATTTGGGGGTCTGGAGTATTATTTTCTGAACTCTGGTTAAATCCTACCTGCCCTCCAGATGGGAACTCCCTTACTGAGTTAAGACTTTCCTTGAATGCTTTATTTAGCTCATCAGGTATATTCTTCCAGAAGAGGACTCACTATATATTTGAAATTATATATTTGTAGTCTATGTGGTTAATTCCTATCTCCCTCTCTAAACTATAAACTATAAGCCCATGCCAGGGACATCTCAGTTTTGCTTTCCACCACATTCACAATGGCAGATCATAACAGGCAGTCATTAAAAAAATATATTTACATATATTTTACATATTTAATATAAAAATATGACTTTTAGGAATTTTCTCTATAATAGTGGTCCTATGAATGTTCTGACAGGGAACATTTACATTCCTTAAATTCTTTTTTTTTCTTTAAAGATTTATTTATTTCTGCATACAGAACTGGGGTACAGGCCAGAGGCTCAGGGGTGGTGAGAGGCTTCACCAGAGACAGAGTGGGGAGCAGAACAGGCAGATCTACAAAGTACACTGCTGAGGGGAGCAGCAGGCGGGTCAGGAGAGGTCTGCCACGCCATGTGGTCACCTCCAGGGCAGGCGGGAATCGAACTCATGCAGAAGTGGCTTTAGCCTCCCAGTACCATTCTTTAACCTGCTGCGCCACCAGGGAGGGGCTACATTCCTTAAATTCTATGATGATTTTCAGTTCACCACAAAGCAGTTTCAGTCAATCGGCTGCCATATGTCAAAGGTATGTACTTCTGGTGAGGATGCACACTTTTTTCTAAAACATGCAACTGAAAGACAAGTTGAAGTACAGACTAATCTTTTAATCCATGTACTTAAATACCAATCTGGGCAATAGAAAAATTAGAAGCCTACATATGTAATACATTTTCTTTACACAACCAAGACACTTTAAATACACAAGTAAAACAAATGAAAATCTAATAATACCCTCAGAAGATTCATCTTGAATAGAAAAGCCTTCAATTTCATCTCTATTCATTACTTTCCTTTATCCCAATTTTCTTTCTTTCTACTGTTATGTTAAAATTAGTCAGATTTTCTGAGACTGCAAGTCTAGGAAATTCCACTTGTTCTCACACCCATCACAGGGATTTATTATTGTTGTTCTGAATAACCGAGTATTTTCAAGTTTCCCTTAGTCACATAATGTTTAGGCTTGTTCTTACTGCCAGCTCCCGAAGCTGCTTGCTGCTGATCTCTTTAGCAAAGGGAAGCATAAGTCTTATAACTATTGCCAGGGACAGTTAGTCACAACTAACCTTGGGTCACTCTCCACCTGGTCTTGTGGAAATGAAGGAAGACAACGTGGATAAGATCACGGACCCTGGAGCCAGAATGTCCTGGCCAAATTCTGACTTCACCTGTTAAGAGTTGTGTGATCCTTTGGCAAGACCCAGTGGGGCCTCAGGGTCCTCATCTATAAAACGAGGATAAAAATGGTGCTTATCCTCAGAGGGTCATTACAGGATAAGTTAATCTTCATAAAGCACTTGGAGTATCTTCTGGCAGAAAGCACTATATACACACTTGTTAAATGACTTATTCATCTTTATATTTCCACTTTGGACAGGTAAAATTTTTTTCTACTACTTTCAGGGATATATACTCCAGCTAGAAATTGAAGATACAGAATTTAGATCTTATTTAACATATCCAAGACTTGTGGCTATCCACATGTTGGGTGTGGATAGATAACAGGTTTTCTGGGTTTTAGTCTTTCCTATGCACCTCACAGGACTGCTTTGAAGATAAAACAATGCAAGAGACAAACATGAAGAGTGTAATCATGTTTTTATGCACCCTTGTGGACATAAACATACAGACATACCCCTTATAATTTCTAAGATTTGGGGGAAGTTGTAAGAGGCATTCTACAAAGTTAAATTACCCCACATTAAAATCAGTTCACAAAAGGTAAAAAAGGGCCAAATATGCAGATAATTAAGAACTTCAACTGAAATCACAAAGTATATACATGATCGATAATGTGAAAAATGACCAACCTAATACATTTTTGTGTTTAATCAAAGAAATTCTGCATTATCACACAGACACAAAACCTTTGAAATCATCCTAAGTCAGTGGTATTTTCACATCTCAGAGTGACAACTCAGAGGTTTTATTGTTTCTAGCAATATATCACACAATCTAAGAGTTCACTTATTACAGAAAAGAACACATTTGATTCTAGGCTTCATTTGCAGACCACATGGAAGGCAATGTCATCTGGCTAAACTCAAAAGAGATCCTTCTTACAATGTGTCAAATATTAGTATTTTTATGAGTAAGAAACACTTTCTATCAATTAGCATCTCAGGCTCAAGTTAAAAAAAACCACATTATTTTGGCATAGAATTCTAGAGTTTTCCTATTTAATTCCCTGATATGGGGGTCCTTGCCAGTAAGTCATGTTTCAAAGTATACTTTTAAGTTTTGGCACCACTCATCTTTGGATGAGTCCTTTATCTGGAATTGTTAAATAAATAGAACTAATTAAATAACAGTTCTTATGCTCCTTAGGTAGGGTCTTTTAGGAAAATTGGAAGATCTCACCCAAGAACTCTAGAGGGTAAATTACAGGTTGTCTTGGTCAGCACAGCCATTGGTGATCCTCGTGATGCAAAGCCAGCGGAACAGCACAGGGTGGGAAGAACGCACCCCTGCTGGGGCGAGTCTGGCCTGCATACCTGGCTATTTTCCTGAAGATGGTAAGCTGCTCGTCCCTGGGATGGAGCACACACCTGCCTGTCCTCACAGTTTAAATGAGATGCCAACACTTTTTTTCTTTAAAACTAAATACATTTTAATAGAAAACAAAATACAAAAGAACTCTTTTCAGAAAACAGAAATATTTAATCCTTTTCCCACAAATTAGAACGTGCTTTATCCTCAAAGCATAGTTTTATATGCGTGCGTAGGTACTTACAATCTGCTTCACAAAGTGTTCATTAAACTGCTATTGCAATGCAGGAGGCGGAAGCGGATGATCTCAGGAGAAAAAGATGTGGAAAAAGCCACACCTCTGGGTAAATCCTCATTTAGAAACTCAATATTCTAATTCTATCTTGTGGCTTCTCATTTGCAATTATTTTCATTTCTTTATCACAATCTGCCCTTTCAGGGGGAGAGAACTGTGAACAGAAGCGCAGCCGTGAAAAGAATCTCTTTCCCACCATCATTGCAAGAGCCCAAGACTTTCTCAGTCAAATCCACCCACCCACTTCTAGAAACATGTCAGTGATCAATCAGTCACCCAGGAATTTTCCCTTTCTCCCAATACACTGTGCTACCAGATTCTCTGAATTCCCTGAACCTCAAAATTCCAAGTATCACAGCCAGTGCCAGGAGTCAAACCTGAAAGATGAGAGCAGAGAAGGCACCCTCTGCCAGTGCTAGGTTTCCTCTTCTCAATAATAATAATAATTATTATAATTATAATAACAATAATAAAAAAAATCCTGGTTCTCTGTAATTACGGAAAGACTTTGCCAGGACCATCCCCGACCCCGCCTGTCGCCACCTGCGCCCCTCCCCAAGTAAGTCTCCCTCCTGCGGCGCCGGGGCCTGGGACCTACAGCACCGCTCCCTGAGCGATGCTACAGCCAGGGGGCCACACGCAGTGCTCAGGGAGGTGAGCGGCGTTCGTGAGACAGAGACGTGAGGGTGCCTGTGTGGGACGCGGCGGGATCTTTGTAAGCACCGCCGCGCACCTCCAGGGCATCTAAATTCTTTGACTGCAGAGCCTCTTGTCACTGCCTTCCTCAGTCCCTGTCCTTGGCCCTCTGGGGGGAGGGTGTCTGCGAGGCGGGAAGTCTTTCACAGTCTGTCAGTGATTCCATTTCAGTCTGTCCTAAGACTTGCTATCTGGAGGCCTTTCGCCAGGGCCCCAGTCCGTAAAAACAAAGATAAAAAAAAATTTAATGTTCCTGATTTTCTTGCGTGATTCCCGTCACGAGGAGGAGGTTACAGGCCATGAACTGCACGCTCAGCACGTTGCTCATCTGCCCCGTGTACACGCCCACGAGTTCGCTGGAGGAGCCATCAGCAGGTGTGCTGCAATACGAGTTCCTGATGTCCCAGACACGCACGGAGTTGTCCATGGACGCGGAGGCGATCAAACTGCTGTCTGGACTGAAGGTGAGGCTGGTGATATTGTCCGTGTGGCCTCTCAATTCCTTATAAAGGGTCCCGGAGGCCAAGTCCCAAAGCTTCAACCGCTGGTCCTCGCCAGCTGATGCCAAGTACTTACCGTTGGGAGAAAAGGCAAGCGAAAGCACGGGGCCGCGATGGCCGGTGAAGAGCCTCACCGAGTTCCCCTGCTGCGCGCTCCACAGCCGGACAGTCTTGTCAGTTGAGCCTGTGGCCAAGTAGTTGGAGTTCGGGTGGAATTTGACACAGTCCACATCTGCCAGGTGTCCTGCATATATTCTCAGCGGATACGTCCGATCGAATGACCACAGTCGTGCAGTGCGGTCGTGAGACCCGCTGGCGAAGTACAGGCTGTATGGGCTGATGTCCAGGTCCCACACTGGGTAGGCATGTCCTTGGTACAACACAGTGTTGGTGAAACTCCCGAGGTCCCAGTACCGAATGGACATGTCTTCAGAACAAGAGAGCAACCCTGAGCTGTCTGCGAGGAACCTCGTGCTGTACACTGGTCCACAGTGTCCCCGCAGGATCTTCATCTCTGTGCCTGCACTATCGTCCTCATCATCCTGGCACAATTGGGTGGGGCGGGGGTGGCAAAGAAGACACACAAGAAAAAATGTTTAGTCATTTGCTATGGGAAACAAAAGTTGGGAGGGCAAGATGGAGCTTGAGAACCAGCTCTACCTAGTAAGTGAAGAGGGCTCGCCCTGATGAGCAGCCGGGAAGAACAACTCAAACTGAATCAAGTCTCTTACAACTTCATTTCTTTCCTTCAATTCAGCTTGCAGTGAAGACTACATCACATCAAAAGACATGATTATTATTGTTATTACAGAGTAATAACTCTTCGGGTGTTGAGATGTACTTTTTAATTTATGTAATGTACTTTGATTCTTTTACTCTGTGGGCATGTTTCACCTGTCAGTTCAGGCTGCTTTATAAGCCATGTTGCTCCCTGCTGCTAGTCCATTAAGAAAAATCCTGACATGTTTACTATGCCCATGATTGGGGTTAATGATGAAGACAGAGGTGGCTTCACTTCAACATTAACACTAAACCACTATAACAATTTTGCCAAAATAAAACCTGGACATAGGAGAACTGGTAGTAAGCCAGGAAGGTGCAGATAAGTAAGTTACACAGGGTGACAAGCCATCAGCTGCTGGTGTCGGAAACCAAATAAAGATGGGGCTTTAAAATTATGACTTTCTGGAAGGTCTCAAACATTGTTCCAAAGTAAATTCAATTTTGAGCTCAGAGTTGCTTCAACAAAGCCAAGTGGCTCATGTGATTCTTGGAAACAAATTCCCATTTGTTACTGGGTTGTTGAAGATCTGCTGGCAATGGCCCTGGGGGAGAAAGCCCCCCTTTCCCTCAGTCCATTTCCCCACTACACTATCTGGAGTTAAAATCCATTTTCCCCTTCATTCTCTCATAACCAATTTCCTCAAAACTAAAGCTGTCTCTAGCCTGGAATTCATAGAGTGGGTTAATTAAACACTAGAAGCAAGTGGAATAAGATGAAAACTTTTTTTTCTAAGATGAAAATTTTGAACCAATTTGCTTTGTGGACTTGGAAATAGATATTGAGTCTTAGGTTCTTACAAAGGAAAAAGGCATTCTTCTAACTTGAGAATTTTTTAATTTTTATTTGAAAATTCCTATATTCAAGGATAAGCTGAACATCTCCAGTGTCTACATATTTGAGAGTTGAGAAAACAGTGATGACCATAAATTTTCAAGATGGCTATTCCAGACACTCAACATTAAAAATACATAAGCATTTGGAAGTTTAAGGTTCTACTGTTACTAAGACTATTAGTGATTTTCCTTTCCAAAGGGGTTACAACAACAATTTAAAATTCAAGAATGACTCATTGGTACTCTACATCAGAAAGTTTATGTAAGACGTGGGCACCAAAAATGATCCTGGATGACTTACACATAGATTCTTTGAAGGTTAACTGCAGATGAGAGAGCCGTTACTATCTCTGATGCTTAAGTGGTCCTCTTTTGGAACAGAAGATATGGAAGCGAGTCTTCCCCACCTCAGTGGGGATGGAAACAGTGATGAAGAAAGACCACTTCCCAGGGGTCTTGGTGACTATCTCAAGCTTGTGATCGACCCTGTACACCAAGAAATGGGGAAACCAGAATATTTCGCTGGCTATTACTATCAGTTATTTGCCAGGACGAGAGCTTAAAGTAACCAAACCACACTTTCTTCTGTGGCTCAACCTAGTCCCCCAAGATCCCAGTTGGGGGGTTGAACTGAAACCTGATTCACACAAGCTCCATCCAGATTTTCCCTCTTCTTCCTCTCATGCAAACAGGACAACTCACTACAGGATAATTCCCTATAGTTTTGAGCAAACACGCCATGGTAAACTGGCATGCATCCCAGACAGGGCAGTTTTATCTTATAAAGTCTACTTGCGCAGTAATAAGTTTTATTATATGCTTTATACAGTATGCATGATATAAAAATTGTAAAGCATAAACCGAACTTCAAATATTGTTTTATGCGTCTTTGTACTTTAATTTGCAGACCCCTGCTTTAAATTGTGGAGTCCCTAAAATGACTAGACTTGTTTTGGCTGTCTATTCCTACACTAGGATGTTCTAAGTGCTTCCTTCAGCTCACACTCTAGTATTTTCTAGATTAGGGATACTTTTGGGATCTGAAATTCAGCCTTGCCTATTATGGCACTAGTTGTTAACAGAACTAAAAAATTAAACATGACCGAGTTACTGAATACTACTAATACTACTTTTTCAAACTTAAAGATTCCCAGATTGGGAAACAATACAGCCATTGCTAGACATTACATGAATTCGATGTTGGTGCTGGATTGCTGGGCTAGGGGGCAGAAGGCTGCTAGTGGTGAGTCAGTGGTGGACCCCACACTGAGAGGAGCAAATCCTACATTTACAATCTGTCGTCTTGTTAGGTAGTACAAGTATGAAAATCACACAGTTACAAATCAATAAGAGAAGCAGCAGTTGGATCAGCTTTATCTGCATTTTTGTATGGGAGAAAGGATGAGGAATGTAGGCCTCCTTCTCCACTTTGTCTGCAGCAGGAGGATGGGAGCAAGGGCTGAAACGAGGGGCAAATCCGTACCACCCAATGGACTTTCAGGGTTGATTTAGATTACCTTCAAGTTGCAACAGAACAGAAGCGACAGGGTGATGCTGTGAATCCAGGTTTACTTTTTTTCCAAAAGATTTATTTATTTATGCATACAGAACCGGGGTTCATGCCATAGATGCAGGGTCGGTGAGAGGATTCACCAGGTACGCTGCTGAGGGGAGCAGCGGGCATGTCAGGAGAGGTCTACCATGCCATGTGAGTCACCTCCAGGGTGGGGATCAAACTCTCACTGAAGCAGCTGACTCGCTTTAACCCGCTGTGCCACCAGGGAGGGCCTACTGCAGTTTTTTAATGTGATACAATTCACATACTATTATGAAACTCACTCTTAAAATCTAGAATTCCATGCTTTTTAGCATGTGCAACTATTGCCACCATTTAGTATAGAACGCTTTTATTATTCCAGTCTCAAAAAGAAATCCTGTACCAAGTAACTATTACTCCCCATATCCTGTCCCCAGCCCCAGCATCCACTAATCAACTTTCCACCTCTACAGATAGGCCTATTCTGGGTATTTCCTACACATGGGAAATACATGTCCACACATGTATGGACTTCCTCTACTGAGCGTAACATTTCCATTGTTTCATCCTATATTACAGCATGCACCATGTTATGTAGCCCGCTGCTTTCATGGCTGAGCAGTATTCCACTGCATCAATGTAACACACTGACAGCTGATGGGCATCTGGAATGTTTCCATTTTTTGGTTATTATGAACAGTGCATGTTTCTGTATAGATGTATGTTTCAGTTCTCTTGGGTATGTACTTAGAAATGAAAATTGTTGGTTTTGATTAGTTTAAATAACAGCTGTTCATTCTGCAAGGAAAAAAGGAAGTCTAAGTCTAATTGAAGAAACATTAAAAACTAGTTACCAGAACTACTTTATACTTGCTTCCCCCCCCCCAAATTCTGTTAGAAACAGACAAACAAACAAAATAAAGCCTTCCCCCAAACTACTATGACAAAATGGGTGGGGAGGTGAGGATCTAGAAATACCCCAAATGGAAAACCCCCAATGAATTAAGAGGATCCTGACTTTAGGTTTAAAGTCAAAAACCAAAAAAAAAAACTTTGTCTCAAGGAGAGTAGAAGCTAGAATCTATAACCATTTTATTATGAATAATGATGAATAAACCAGAAGATACATAAGCATCCACTGCTCTGATGTCTTGTTCCCTCTGGGGTAGGTAGGAGCTCTCTCCCAGTTCAAGTCTGATAGAGGTCATCCTCAACTCTTGCTTTTCCTTGGCCCCTATGGTAATCAGTAAGTTTCGTCTAGTCCACCCGCCTGTTCGTCTTCCCCTGCCACTGCCCTAGTTCAGGCTGCCATGACCTCTTACATGGGTAGCCAACATAATGTTTCCTGCCTTGCTCTCCACTCACAGCGCCAACTTGAGCCACACTGAATTTCTTTTACTTCCTGAAATTCGTCATGTTATTCTTCACTTTCTGAAGCTTGAAAGCTTTCATAGAACAAGTCACAAAGCTAGGTTTCAGTGGTAACTAAGGCAGAAACCCACTTTTTAAAAATTTTAGTCTAATGTCCTTTTCTATTTTTTGTATTTACCTTTCTTGTTGTATTAATTTTTAATGCTTAGAATACTCATACAGTCAGGATCAAAGTAAGTAAGGTCATAATTTTTATTTACAGAAAACTGAAAATAAATGAGGGCAATAGTCCTCAGCTATATGTGAAGATACCCTAGAACTGTCTCCAGGGAAGAAAGAAATTTGATAATTCAAATACAGGTGTAATAAAAACAATTTTGGAGAGTACTAAAAATCTAGAAATTAAAGCTTATACTTTGGAATTTCAGCTCTTACCCTAAAACAAGCTCCTCTAATTATAATTATCTCTGTTGCAAGGAATAAAAATTCAAAGGTGACTCAGAAAACAGGATATGAAAAGGAGGGCTTAACTTATGTATCCAATGCTCTCAGTATCCCTGTCAGTAACTGTAAGTTCAGTAATTTGCTGAACAAAAAAACTTTCTATTAACATAGCTTGAGACAATTCTCTTGAATTTGTCACATGACAAAAATGGTCTTGCTCACAACTTTGATGTAAACTTCAGTTTACCAGAGGAAAGTAAACTGAAGTTCAGTTTCCAGCTCCCTCTGCAACATGTTTCTGAGGCAGTGGTTCTTGGCGACCGGAAGTGGCTGCCCCCTTGGCCTGCCCCAAACATAACAGAGTTACACTGACTGATAGATCAAATGTCAACTGTATTTCCTGCGTATTTTTTAAAGTGGGGTCAAGAACACCCTGGGGCACATGGAGCCAAGGGCCTTGCGCCGGTTTCAAAAAAGCTGACAACACTCAGTGTTGGTGGGGATGGAGAAGTCAGTGCTCTGTCACTGAAGACTAGGAAGTGGCACAACTGTCTGTGGGGAAAATGAAAATACTTACCACAATGTAAAATGCAAGTCCTCTGACCCAATAATGATCCTAAAGTGATCCAGTAAAGGGACCCTATTTCTCTATTTGTATGATACACGACACACCCCCTCTCCTACCACAAATTACAGTATCAGCTAAAGGTCTTAGCAATGTTACCCATGTTTCAGATGTTAATAAGTACTGAGCCGTCATTAGTAATTTTCAGCTAGTGCTTTAAAAATAGTTTTTGTCTCTTCCAAGGTTAGGCATAAACAAGAATTCAATGACTCCAGGTTACACAACACTAGCCTGGCTTCAGCATATGATAAGGAAAATAATGAAGTCCATTCCCTGTAAGACCTGTCATGTCTGGTAAGCTAATGCTAAGCAAATAAATAAGGCAGGTGTAGGGAAGAAAAAATATTCATACCTCCTCCTCCAGAATATCACAAGCCAAGTGGATGCGGGACACGTCGACTTGATGGGGTTCTGATTTTAACTTCTTAGATCGTAAACTCCACAATTTTATACAGGAGTTGTCAAACCCAGCAGCAAGCAGCTTGCTATCTGGGGAGATTTCTGCAGTGTTCAACAGCTGCTCTGTGTTATAGAAGGCATAGAAACAGATGGTAGTGAGGGAAGGAGGGCCATCCTTGACGCGCTTAATGCTCTCCTGCAAGACCTCCAGGGCAGCCTCATTCTGCAGAATAGGGGTGGGCATATCAGTGGGCTCTAAGCCGTTGCCCTCACTTCGTGAGGAGCTGCCGCTGGCATAGAGCTGGTAGTCTGTTCTCTTGGCAGGCTGCACGTCAAGATGGATATGCAAGGTGAGGATTTTGCACAGGGCGGTGTTGTTGTCACTTTGGAGGTAGCGGATAAGGTAGTTGTAGCTGTCTTCTTGGAGACGGACCACGTACTTGTTATCTAGGAATGCTCGAAGCTTGAAGTTAGACAGGATGTCCTGGATGGTTTGAGTGGTCTGTAGCTGCTCAATGACATCCTTCTGGCTAGCATTCTGCAGAAACATTCCATGGAAGCGGCTATAAAAACTTTCCACTGTGCTCTTGGGACTGTTCTGGACCAGGTTGAGATGGAGGTAGACAAAGAGAGGATAGAGGAGAGGCATCACTTCGTGGCTATGCTGGGAATCAGAATCTATAATTAAAAAAAAAAAAAAGAAGAAGGGTTTTATCATCAGGTTAATCTCAAAGAACAATGTGACCTTCCTAGGGGGCCCAACATCAAATCAGGTTGTTAGGACCTATTTTCTGAGGCTATTACTGGTAAATTCTGGAAACTCAAAGTCCAAGCCTTTTGGCTGGAGAAAGAAGGGCATGAACTCTGAAGTATGGCAAACCTGGGCATGAAGTTAGTCACACATTAGGGACTGATGCCCAGACAGGTTAGGTAATTTGCCCAAGTTTTCACAATTCAGTAGCTTGTATTCAGGTCTTCAAGTTTTAGTCCGTTTTCCCAATACATCAATGCTTCTCAATTGTGTATCTCAGACCTCTGTGGGTCTTTAGATGTATTCTTAGGAGACTGTGGATTCTTCATAGAAACTTTTAAACTTTATAATTAAGAAAGCAATCACTACAAGCATATTCAGAATTATCTGAATGGTCTCTTTAGCAAGTAAATACGGACATGTAATTTCAGTGCTGTTTTGTTTCGGTCTCTATTAGCTACAGAAATATCAAATTACCTTTTTTTAGTGGGTCCATCAACATGTCTGGCTATGTAGGCCTGCATGTTCTAAAGCTCAGGTAACAACATTCATCCATAATTGCTCGTGTCTGTCAGTGCACTCATTGTGATTTTGTCTGTTAAAAGGTGAAACTTACCTCTTTTGCAGTGATAATTTACAATTGAGGCATTTTCATGTCATTAGGAGTAAACCATTTACTAATTTGAGCTTTTGGTACCACAAGATGATATGACAAAAAAGTTTAATGGTGTGGCCAACAAGGAAAGCACACAGTTACAGCTGACACCTTATTCGGGAGGGCAGAGTGTGAGTTGTGAGGGGCAAAGGTGTCCCAGTCATTCACTCAGAGACTACTGAGGGGCATAAGCAGACTGGGGAAGGGAATGAAAGTGACCCATGTCACAGCCATTGGGATGATCCCTCTGCCCATCTGGAAGAGCTAGTTAGTTCTGGCCTTTCTTACTTTCAATCAAATTTGAACTTTGCTGTTTTTGTGGTTCTGCTTGTTCTTGATTTGTAAATGAGTTTAGGTTTCATGAAGATATAATATTGAGGTTTTGTGCCTAGTGTAAAGATTGTAAATATTTAAATGAATATAAAAATGATTCACATCAGCCCTCAGCACTTTGTTTTTGTGAAAAGGAAGCCATACATGGTGAAAGATCAGGAATACTGCACTGGGGAACCCTGCTTCCCTATTCTGATGATACATGAGACCAGCGCTCTGTCTAACACCCTGTTTTCACTTTACTATGGTGAATTAATTGCATAATATGGGCATTCTAGAATAAATGCATCTACTTACACACTTAGAAGATGACCTTAAATTACAACGATGATTCCATTAAACTGAAGTTAAGACTAGTACTTTGGGCTCTTTGAGCCTTTGCGTCAACAGGCAAAAAAGGGAATCACTGTTCTAGCTGTGCTGACTGACTGTGACGGGGGAGACTGGACTGCTACTCCACAGTGGAGGTGAGGAGAGCAGGTCTAGAACACGGTCGATTTCTTGGGACTCCTCTTAACACGATCATGCTCTGTGATAATGGTTAGCAGGAAATGACAACCCAATCTGGGTAGGATCAGTGCCAGGTCCTCTGGAAACGAACCAACCTCTGGAGGCGCTTGCTTGAGGTCAAGGGAATACAGAATGGGGAGTGGGAGAAGGAAGTAGCTGTCAACTAGGACTATGTGACCAGTTACAGAAACATGAGCTGTACCTGTCATGAAAATCCTCCTCATTTTATTGAGTGTTTTTGCGTATAACTGTACTAGTAAACATTTTTTCTTTTTATCGCTTATCCCCTTATGTAACATAAATTATAGTGATTTTATAAACAGCATTTAAGAATTGTTAACTTCAGCTCATAGTCTTTTTATTTGGAGATCAAGCATGATTTAAAGACACAGGAATGGGCGACCAGTGCCGGCTAGCTGTTGTGTCAATTTGCTTGGGTCACAGTGCCCAGATTAGAAGTCAAGCATTATCCCAAAAGTTTCTGTGAGGCATTTTTTGTTTTTTTAAAGACAAGATCAACATTTAGATTGGCAGACACGGAGTAAAAGATTACCCTTCATAGTGCAGGTGACTCTCCCCAAGCAGCTGAAGACCACAAGGGAACCAAGACTGAGCTCCTTGGAGGAGATGGATTCTGCCATGCAACTGCTTTGGGGTGTGAGCTGCAGCACTTCCTGGGCTCCAGCCTGCTGGCCCGCCTGGCAGACTGTGGACCTGCTAGTCTCCTAGAAATCTTTCTCTATCCTGTTGATTTGTTTCTCTAAAGAACCCTAATACTAATTTTAATACTTCTTTAGGTACTGTAATTCTTTAGAAGACCTCAAAAATATCTCTGTGAACACCAGTTAAAAAAACTAAGGATTCCATTTTTACAAGTTAGACTGCCAATGTATTCTCTATTGGGATGAAGGATTGTTTTCAACAATTTAAAATCTTAATTTCAGGCAAAGTGTCCAAAATGAAAGGCATTATAACATAATAAACTGTTCTCTCTAGTCTGAAAAAAGTCATGTGTGATGTATATATAAAAAAATTCAACCAACATAGTCTATGTGTGGAATAAGACACATATTAAATCTTAACTCTTATTTAAATCTCCCCTTGCAACTACAGCATATACTTTATATTTTATTGAAAGTATCATTTCAGTACTGTTGCAGTAATATTTTTTTCGAAATTAAAAGTAACATCCTTTGAAAAGTATGTTTTTTCTTCCTTCTATCCTTCCCTCCTCTAAATATGTAACAAATGTCACAGTGCCACACTGTGTTGGTGGTGGGAAAGAGGCAAATAGTTTCCCAGGGAGTTTGTGCAAGTAGTAGACAGGACACTAAATTAAAAAATGAGCTCAAGCCCTCATCTCCAGCATTTCTCTGTGGGCTGGACACAGTGAATCCACGCCCAGTCTTTGTTCTGAGACACGACATCTGGCTGGGCTCTGGATAGCCCCACTCTCCAAATTCTCCTTCCTCCTCACCCCCCACATGCTCGCTTTGCTTTAAAGGGTTAACTGTGGCTCACGTCCTGTGAGCCAGGCACTTCACTTCCAATACAGGGGTAAGGGCACAGCTGGCTCCACCAGGTTCAAACCCAGGGAGCCTGCCTCTGAAGTCTGTGCTCTTCCTACTACATCTCCGGAAGAAAAGGGTCAACAGCCACAGATCTCTTAACCACAGCAAACTTGTGGAGACAAAATATATTCAGAGAGCTGCAGTCATGGGTGTTCTGATCTTCTATGACTTTGAGTTTTCCCATTAACTGATGCTGAGTTCTTTATCACAAGTATGTATCTTTCTCTTTAACATCAGCCTCAAATGTCCTATTGCAAGCCATGTAAGTAGGATATTATTGTCATAACAATGTGAAAAAACATAATCTGACTTATTTCTGCTCTTTTAATGGATTTACTTCTCTACGCAATATACCTTAATCCTCTGGCCATCTCAGAGGAAGAGTCATTATCAGCTCTTCCTCCTTTACTCCTGAGCCCTGGGGAGCCCACCTTGGTCATTTAATATGGAATCCAAGGCCCTGTTCCACTTCCACAAGACTGTCCATTTCTGGTCCTTTTCACCTGACTCTTAACTGCCACAGTGGAGTTTGGGCAGGCCTCTCTAGCAGCCCTTTCACAAACCCTTTTATAAAACTGCTTTTAAGTAATACTCAAGTCAGAGGTTGTCTCAGTCACATAAGCATGGTTCACACTTCTAAGCCTGATGAGTAGGTCCTTTCTCAGTCTGCTTTTAGTGTATTTGGCTTTATTTCCTCAGTCTCAATAAAGCTGGTCCTTTCATTGTTCTTGTTCAAAGAATCATCATCTCTGCCCAGGTGTTTGTGGCTTTTTCAAGAATTCTGAGTCCAACTCCTTTTCTACAACAGTTTTGAAATCCAGCCCATTTTCTAAGGGCTAGTTAAATTCTACCTCCTACTCAGTAAAACCTTCTCTAACACCTTCCCCTAAGTCACTTTCCCCTTTTATTCGAAATGTAACTCCTATAGGTACAAAATAGCAATTCAAACTGGTCTGTAAAAACACTTCCATTATATTAAAATTTTACATAAGAACATTTACTTTTAGCTTTTTATTGTTAGAATTAGCTTCCAAATTAGATTAGTGACTACATTTTATGTTTTATCTTGATGCTCAGGCAATTCTTGCTCATTTGATTGGGTTGACTGCTCTTCAGAGACCTGAGGGTAGAGAAAATGTTCCAGGAAAAGCTGTCTGTAAACAGTCAATTTATAAACCTTAACTCATGATAAGCTAAATAAAAAGTAGTTGGTAAGGTAAAACATGTACCCTCTCCAAATAATCTGTAACCAATGGATTAATGAATTAAATTACCAAGTATCAGACAACCTTCTCAGTTTTGAAAAAGATAAAAAATAGCAAAGATTGCAGTCCACCAAAATGTACATTTCTCAGCAAAAAAAAAATCAGAATAAGAAAGGTACCACATATTAGGGAAAAAACAGCACTATCAAATATAAGGGGTCAATAACTATTCTACATTACAAACTCTGGCAAATATTTAAGCAAAATGCCATGGGTCCAAAGATAAATTTGAACAGAAAACTGTGTACCAGGATGAATCATTTAAGTGATCAATGAAAGTATTAATTCTTCACTGTTAGTCAAAATTTTATAGTGACATTTCAATGAGTCTATTTTATCATAGTTATGCTTTTGCAAAAAAAAAAACATAAATAATAATCTATAATGTCACTACACTTATCACATGAATGTTAATCCGAATCTATCACAGCCCTGATAAGAGCCCTTTCATGCCTGAGCACACGGGGTGCGTCACTATGACAATGACAGATCTGGGGCTTCATGTTTGCTCACCAAATGGTATGTGTGGTGTCTACACACTGTACTCATGAGCCCCACGTATAGCGCTTCGCAGACACAGGCTGAACGAATGAATGAAAAAGGAAGAAGACAGGCATCTTTTTCTCAGCCAGGTTCCTACTACTAAAGTGGTGGGAGAAATCTATCATGGAGAGATAATACTCCCATTTTAAAAACCAAATGAAATAAACTTCTAAAAAACTGATTAAATAATTAAAAATGGCTGAAAGCCACAAAAACTAATGTAAACGATTAAAAAAATAACTCATTATCTCCAAGTTCTTGCTTACCTCGGAATGAAATCCTTCTTAAAATTCAAATTTTCTTTTTTTATCCTTAGTGGAGATGGAAAGCAGCTGATCACTGTTCTGAGATATTTAACATTCGTATCACATGAGGATCTTAATGGAATTTCTTTCTTTCCAGTTTAAACATAATAGACTTTTTTTTTAACTGAATCTTTAATCTCCATGGTTTTTTCACTTTTGTAACTATTTAAAGACCACTTTCTTCTTATGCATTCCATCACTCAACAACGGTGAGGCGGATAAGATCACCCACCCTAAGAGGGCTTTATTTTGTAAACTGCACTTCATGTAACATTTTGGCCAATTTCCCCAACCACAGGATACAGACAACGTGGATTACTAGACATTATGAGGATTAAGTAAAATCAGGGCAACTTCAAACATTTGAATACAGGGTATATTATTTTAGTTTGTAATGATCATCTTATATGCACCTTTATCCTTTAATATTATTAGCCTTAGTATTGTTCAAATAAGGAAAGAAAAAGAAAACTTCAAAGTATTTTAACTACAATTTCCCACTAACTAGCACCTCATTTTTCTCACTCCTTTATGGGCAGAGGTGGCTTTGTATTTCTTACATCTCAAGGCATTCTGTCAGTAAGTACTAAACAAAAGACTTAATAATAACCACAGTTAACATAATATCTCATACTGCAATTATCTTTCAAATATTAAATTATAATCAGTCATCGTGGGCCTGAACAAGACCTCCTGGTTTTGTCTTTGAATTGCCTTCTTCATTGCACATAAGAGAAATGAAGGCCCAGAGATGACTCCATTTTACTAAAATGATTAATAAAAAAAATATAAAGAGAGTTAAGCGAAAAAACTAGCACTCATCTACTGATTCTCTGTTTTAGTGGTCATTACACCATCCCTAAACTGGTTTAAACCACATCTAATTTTTTCATTTTGTTGATTCACATAGACTAATTAATGTCTTGCACTTTTGGAAATAAGAGGAAAAGATCATTGAGATATACTAATCATTAGTGAGATCAACATACATTTCAAACTGCTACATTTACGGATGTTTCTCTAAATAGTTGATTTACCTTTCACTTTTTCAACACAAATCACAGGTGCTGTGCTGCAGGCCAGGGTTGGAAGAATGAATAAAACACCCAAAGCCTTCCATCCTTGCAAAAATCTATGATTTAACTTTCCCAGAAATGCCAGCAGTTTTGATGCAAGGACTATGTCAAACTACCTTTGAATCCCTAGCACTTAACGCCATTCTTGGGATACAGTAGGTTCTGAGGGAAATGTGCATCGTTCCTTCTTAAACAGAGAAGTTCCTTGTGCTGAGTACTTACCGGTGAGAAAATTCCGCAGTCGTCCAAACTGTACTTCATATTGCTGGGGTTCTGCCTGGCAAGGGGCTGCAGACACTATGTTGGCACAACCAGATTCTGATTGGACTACGGAAGAGATACACGAGATGGAGACGGGAAAAACAAAATTATTAACCCAGTATGTGGCGGGAAGGCGGGAAGATGATGCTGAATATGCATCAGTGGTAACTGATGTTTCAGTAAACTGTCAGTTGTTGGAATTCTGGTTGAATGTGACTGATGACACATGTCTATCTCCTCTCCCTCCTGATATTCATAAAATGATAGTAGAGAAATGGAAAGGTATAAAGCACAGAATAAGTGAGCTAAGAGGACAGGCACGTAAGTTCACAAGAGAGTTATCTGGAAACATCTGCCCTTATGTTGACATTTTATAATAATGTCCCCTGGTAGGGGTTAATTTTCAGTGATTGTACTGGGTACTTTGTGGCCCCTTTCAATCTGAAAATTCACGTCTTTCAGTTTTGAGAAATTTTCTTGAATCATTTTGTTGATTCTCTTCTATTTTCTCTTTTTGGGACTTCAATTATTTCAAGGTTGGATCTCCTGAATGGATCCTTTACTTTTCCCTTGCATATTCCATTTCTACTTTCTGGGAGACAACTTTCCACCCTCCCATTGACTTTCCATTTTTGCTATCATGTATTTAAATTTATAAAACTTTTGTTGTTCTTTCAATGTTCTTTCTTTTAGCATTCTCTTCTTGTTTCATGCTATCAAGGACGGTGTTTTTAAAGTTCTCTTCTCTCTGCGGCTGGGTCTGCCAAGCTGCTCCTCACTGTTTCTTTCCATCGCTATTTTTTTCAAAATAAGTAATTAGTTTCTTCCAGGGTCTGACAGCCCCTAGATGTCAGCTCATAGCTGAAAGTGAGGCACTACAGAGCTGATGGAAGCTCCATGTGCTCATCATCCAAGATGACCTATGTCAACGTCTTTAGGGCTTTTCTCTTGGGCAGCTCAGATTCAGGAGGGAGGAATCTTTTAATCACCTTCCTGGAGGATATGTGTCCGACTGCCAGTGATCTGGGCAGTGGAAATGGAGGGAAGAAGGCTGGAGTCTCAGTATTTGGTACGTAGACATACACTTAATTTCCACTCTGTGCTTTAGCTTTCTAAAAAGAAAAACAAAATTTCCTTACCCTTCTTGTAGGGAGAAAGGGGACAATGGAAACAGTGGTTGGGGGTGGAGAAATATCAATTTTAACAATAATCAGGATGAAGTAGGAACACATTTTAGAAGGAAGAAGACTGTCAGTGTACCTTAGGGGACCTCAGAGAGACTGCTGGAAGCAGGTGGACAATCTGGGAGGCTTCCCGAGGAAGAGTGGCTCCTCCCTCTCCTTCATGCTGCCCTTGCCTGTGTTCCTCACTCACCAAGACCTAAAGATTCCTAAAATGTACCCTCCTCTCTCCTCTCCATTCCTACTGCTGCTTCCTTAACTCAGGCTGTCCTCACCTTTCAATGGCTGTCACTAGGCCTTCTAACATGCTTTCCTGTTTAAACTGAGGCCTTTCTCAGTTAACTCAGCCACCACAGTGATCTCCTATTAAACATTATATCTAAACTAAGACAACTAAGAGGAATAAAGCCCTGGAAGGCTGTAAGCTAGGGATTGTTCCTATTTTCTATTAAGAACAGCACAAAATCGTTATTCTTAGGTTCTAAAGAAAACAAGGCAGCAGGAGATTATTAGTGTACAGTAAGTCTGTGGGGGTCCAGGCTAGAAGCCAAGAGGAACAGAGACACTCAGGCCCTAAGGGTCTCATAGAATAATAGTTTAGAGAAGAAAAAGTTGCATACGGCATCAGGTACTGATAACAATCACTTAGCATTATGAGGAAGACCATGACAGTAGGAAGTTTTTGGAAGTGGTTTTGAATGTGGCTTTGAAGGCCAGTCACCACCACTCATTCGCTGCTGCTGCCCAGGGAGAGGGCAGGGAACCTGCTCTCTCCAGTGCTATGTCTGGAAGGGGATTGGGAACTAACTCCTTGTGGGTCTTGATATGACTTCTCCTGCTCCAGCTTGTGTCCCCCGGAGAAGCCCCCACAGGTACCTGTGAGGTTGGCCGCCATCTCCTCAGCAGTCTGAGACAGCCGCAGTCCTTGCTTCAGGGGCCCGTCTGAGTCCACGTATTGCCGGCGTTTGAGGTAGCAGGACACTGCCATCTGAATCTGCTCGGTGCGCACTCGTTTCATGACCTTCAGGGAACCACAGGATGCAGAGCCATAAGGGATCATGGGGAACATTCAAATGAACCAGGACTCGCGGGGGGGGGGGGGGGGAGGCAGTACTTTGCCACGGGACTAGTTAAGTGGCTTAGTTAACATGCGAAACTAAGTTCCTCAATTACTGACCTGGCGCTCGCTTCTATTTTAATATGTATTTTCCCAATGACAATGCAGCTTGTTTCAATTATGGAAAATAGGAATATCACAGACAACAAAACCCCCACAGATCACCCCCCATTTCCATTTAATACCATGATTTCAATCTCCCCAGGGAACTACTCATTAGAGATGCTATCAAAGAGCAAACAGGACCAGCTGAATTCCAGGGCCTTTTACTTCTCCTGCCTACTCAGCAGAGAGGTGTTAATTAGCAGTGAACCAGCCAAAAAAGCAGGCAGGAGGCAGCACAAAATCAAAGACCCGACAAATTCAGAAACTAGATAAATAAATGTTGGGAAAGTGAGAAGTTAATAATGAGGAAAGGGAAGATAATGTGTTTTCGTAATAGCCAGGAAAAGGCTGCCAGCACTGAGTCAAAGATTGGAGTGGTTTTTTTCACTTAATTTTTTATTTACTGCTTTACTCTTTACTTGATGCCAGTACCAAAAAGTATCAATAATGGTAGCGAGGTAGGCACATTTGTGAGAAAGCTTACAAGAATGGAAACAAAAATGGTAGAAGTGTGCTAAACAGGACGGCATTTTGTGATACTCAAGCTATTTTGAATTTTCCCACAATACAGGATGATTTTCCTTGGCTTCCCTTAGTATCAGTGACAACATACAGAGAAGCCTGGTGGGGTGTAGGCCTCAAACATGGCACTACCAGAAGTAAAGAGCACTGCAGTCCACACGCCACTGCCAGTTGCATGAATTTTGCCAATTCACTTGTTATAGAAAAATGATTTCTTTTTCAAAGCCAAAATCTGGGGTTTCTTGTGGGATGTATGCAAGGTTATCCATATGCATGTGGTGGTTCCCCCCCTAAGTAATATTCTTTAAATCAAAGGTTCCCCATTTTTTGGGGTGGAAGATCTGCTTTCAAAAATTTATTTGCAGGTGCTTAAGTTTCCAGTTTCAGCTACATACACCGGTCTTTGTGATTCCTCCATGCTTTTTTTTTTTTAAGATTTAAAATCCTGGGCCTCCCAAGTGGTATGGGTATGGGTGTGTGTGTGTGTGTGTGTGTGTTAAAGTCTCAGTAGTACTCACTAGCTACTGCAGCAAGAATTCGATCCCTAGCCAGGAAGCTGACCCACATGGCACAGCCAACCTCTCCTGTCACCCTGCTACTCCCTCCACTGTGGATTTCAGTAAATCTGCCTGTTCTGTTCCCCACTCTGTCTCTGGTGAATTGAACAGAGCAGGGAATGATCTGTGATTTGGAAGGCAAGGTAACAGAATTCATTCACACAGAGGAGCAAAATGTAGACAAAAAAAAAAAAAAAGAACACAAAAAGTAAAGATATCTCTTGGAAAACATCAAGAGCAATAATGCTTACATTACAGGGGTTCCAGAAGATGATGAACAAAAGGGGCTGAAAAATTATTTGATGAAATTAATAGTGGAAACATTCCCTCATTGGGGAAGGAAACAGACATCCAGGTATAAGAAGCCCAGAGAGCTCCAAGTAAGAGGAACCCAGAGAGATCCATAACAGGATATACTACAATTAAAAAGGCAAAAGTTAAAGAGATAAATGTTAAAAGCAGCAGAAAAAAAATAGCTTGTCACACACAAGAGAGCTATCATGAGGCTAAAGGCAGACTTTTCAACAGCAACTTCAACGACCAGAAATATTGAAAAGAAATACCCAGAGACTCTGATTCAGTATTGTATCTAGAGAAAAAAAGATATAATGCATATACAGAGACTGTGACATACTGCCCTTTCATGGCTTGGACCAAAGTCAGGATTCGTGGATATAATCACCTTCCCTCACAGCTCTATAGTGCTTGTGAAAAAGCTGCTTTTAATCTAACTTCAGAAGCTCTAATTCTCCAAACTCTTCCAAGCAATCTGGTTCCTTATACTGTAGCTGAGATCAAACTTTTCCAGATCTCCTACTGCCCATCTCTTGTTGCTACAGGAATGCATGCTGGTATCAATGCACGTCTCTCAGCGTTCCAACACAGACAGGACAGAGATCATCATCATAAAAAAAAGGTCACCTGTGACAGGGAAAAAGACAAAACTATATAGGCAAAAGGGAAAGTGACAGAGAGAACAGACTCAAAGCTGATGTTGCGCCTTCAAGGTGGAAAAATGTACAGGAGGGGAATGTACAGGAGGGTGAACAGCAGAAAAAACTGGCCATGCTGCGGATTACTAGAAACTAGCCTGGAAGTACTGATTCTAGTGAATGTGCCCAGTCCAGCTGCCCCAACGGGCAGTTTCTCACACTTGCAGCCCCACTCATGTCCAGAGACCTTCTCTGAGGGCGGTCATGGTGCTAGCTGAAGGAACCAGAGGAATGCCGGCATTAACTCTCTTTATCACCACACTCAAGGGGAACTCCAGAGTGATAAGCCAATCAGCGTAACTGGAGTTAATTCCAATGCAAACATATTTCAGTGAAATAATTAACAGAGTTCTACAGAAAAATCATTTCCCCCAAAACTGATTGCAAAGTACCAATATCCATAAATGGACATATGCACAAACAAAAAAGCTCCCTGACATAGTCTGTTAAGAGACTCAGACACTAAGACCAACACAGTAAATTCAAGTTACTTGCTTAGCTTTTCCCATAATGGTAAAATCTTTTATGTTTCAATGGAGTTTGGACAGAATTATATCTTTGTTGAATTTTCATTTTCCTCACAATTTTTAATTTACATAAAATATCTTGACTTTTAAAAGTAAAAAATAGGTGATCACATGCTTTTTCCTCATGTCACATTACATTAGCATTCCTGGAAATTAAAGTGAGAATTCTGATACAATATCATACATTAATGGTTGCCAACTGTTTATCTAATATGTCAACAAAGTTGCTATATAAAATTAGTACATGATTCTCTTCCTGTCTCAAAGTAACCACAGCCACACTGTTACTACTTAACTGCAGAAATATAGGACTACAGAATACACTGAACAGAGGGGTCTGCTAACACAAGCTCACAAAATCCCTTCACTGGTTACAGATGGCACCCCAGCCCCACCCACTATGTTCTAATGTACACACAGGTGGAGTGCTGTTGAAGGAGACACCCCAAACCACCACTACCCAGGTTATGCAACACACAAATGCCAATAGGGTATTGAAACACCAATAGAGTACTGTCTTCATTGATAAAGTGGCAGCTCTTTTTTTTTTTTTTTAAAGATTTATTTATTTGTGCATACAGAACTGGGGTACAGGCCAGAGGCTCAGGGGTGGCAAGAGGCTTCACCAGAGACAGAGTGGGGAACAGAACAGGCAGATCGATGAAGTACACTGCTGAGGGGAGCAGCGGGTGGGTCAGGAGAGGTCTGCCACGCCATGTGGTCACCTCCGGGGCAGGCAGGAATTGAACTTATGCAGAAGAGGCTTTAGATTTTCAGTGCTGTGCTTTAATCTGCTGCACCACCAGGGAGGGCCAAAAGTGACAGCTTTTAATACAGGAAAATCACCATCATCATCAGCTCCCTTGTCATCTACTAGCAAGTACTTTAAAGAAAAAAAAAAAAAGATTTGGGCCCTCTTGGGTGGCATGGTGCGCTGCACAGGGAAGCTAAGCCAAGTTGTGGCTGCTTCAGTGCAAGTTCAATCCCCAACCTGGAGGTGACCCACATGGCACGGCAGACCTCTCCTGCCTCACATGCTCCCCTCAGCAGTGTACTTTGTCCATCTGCCTGTTCTGCTCCCTGCTCTATCTCTGGTGAATCCTCTCACCGCCCCTGCACCTCTGGCCTGTCCCCCAGTTCTGTATGCAGAAATAAAATCTAAAAAGAAAAATTTATTTTTATTTATTTATGCATAAAAGAACTGGGGGACAGGCCAGAGGTGCAGGGGTGAGAGGATTCACCAGAGACAGTAACACAACAGGTGGATCTACTGAAATATACTACTGAGGGGAGTAGTGGGCAAGACAGAAGAGGTCTGCTGTGCCATGAGGGTCAGCTGCTGCAGTGGCTGGTGGTAGCCTGACAGTGCTGAGACTTTTCCCCTGCGCCATCAGGAAGGTCCAATAAATGCTTTTCTAAAAGCATTTTTTCCCAGCGGTGAATTTAGGCTTAAAAAATAGATGAAAAACTTATTTTTGTTAAATGAGAGATCATGCAAACTGCCTAGTAGGTAACCAGTCCTCTTACTGGCCATACTGTTAATGGTTATAATGTCTATTATAAGGTCATTTCAAGTAAGGCCTAAAATTCTAGCCTTTGCATTAAAGGCATTGTCCACTACTAAAACATCATCATAAAGTGTACTGAATTAGCTTTCTAATAGTCTAAATCACAGCTGAGAAATAGATGAGCCATACTACTTTCAGTTTCAGTCATACCCCATATAATTTAAGAACTGTAATGACCTTTCACATTTAGTCTTTGCTCAGACATGGCTTGATAGGAATACACTTGAACTAGAGGCTGTGCTTTTTCCCCTGGAGTCCTAGTAACTAGCACGTGAATAGCTCATAGTCAGCGGCTCAGGATGCATCATAGAAACCTAGAGGGCTATTTTTTTTTTGGTCAGGGGGGTGAGGACAGAAATCAGATCACCAGGTAGACAGATGACACTAGAAACTGATTTCAGGGTTCCATGATATTCCAGAAGTCTTTCCTTATCAACTAATTTTTTTTTCTACGGCTTCCCACCCCAGCTATTCCAAACCTGCATCAGTCTCCTTAACCAGCCAGCTGAGCTGCTTCCGATCTCAGTAGACTAATCACTAAGACTTGAGACCCTTCAATGCTAATCCAATCAGTCACTTTCTCAACTATACTAAGTCTCTTAGTTGCTAAGCATGAGAATCTCCCTCAGGTCTCCCTCTCTCAGTCACTTTCCCTGGCAAGTCTATCTCCTTACTCCCCCCTTCCCCTTTCTTGGTCCACTTCTCATTCTTTCCACTCACCACATCAAGGCACTCCTTACTCCAGACTTAGGGAGTCTCTAGTCAGAGCACCCTCCTGAGTGCAGGTCCAAGTCATTACTACTTGGATGTGACAAACACCTAAAATTCACTATGCTCGATTTTGCCTTCTGTCAAAATTCCTTTCCTCATTAAGTCTTCCTAGCTAGCTTAACAACACGATCGTCCACCACTAAAACAAAGACAACAAGAACCCAGTCATTAAATCTCTCTCCACTGGCCCTTACTTCTAAGCCACTCTCCCCTTTTCTACACAGGATTCTCTCTTGCAGCCTTACTGCGCTATTTGACAGAACGAGTCCTTCTCAACTTCACAGTCCAACAGCCTCCAACCTCTGATTCTGGCTCAAATGTCCTTTAGAATGCAGGCAGAAAAAAAGACTCCAAGCTTACAATCGCACCCCCTGCAAGACACGCAGGCCATCCACTCCCACCATCACTTAGTTCTCCCTGAGGGAGGGTTACCTCATACAGGGCATTCCTTATCTTTGAATCCTATAAAAAGTAAAATAAGTGTATTCAACTTCTGCTTGGAATTCTACAGTTTATTTTAGGTTCATGACTTTTCTGGGTTTTTGTGAATCAAAAAGCCACAAATATTTGATTCCTGTGTTTATACTTCTTTATAGCACAGAAAAATTCTTTCTATAAAAAACCTTAGCACATGGAAGAGAGTGGCACAGAAAGGATAGCTACATTATGTACCAGGTTTGACTTATAAAGGAAGCTTTCACATATAATCTACTTGCAAACACCACGCGGACAGATGTGATGGTAAGTTTTTAGACAACAGGGGGAATGTGTTTTCTGGTGTTTATCCTTCTCCCTGAAATGGATTCCAAGTGCAGCAAGTGAGGTTTTGGAGATGTTTTAATGACATAAAAACCTTTATGGGTGTATCTTGGAGGATCCACGAACTTGTGAACAGTACTGTCCACTTGGACTTCCTGCAACAAAGGAAACGTCCGAAGTCTGCACTGTTCTGCACAGCAGCCAACTGACACATAGGGCTATTGAGCAACTAAATATACGGCTAGGGTAACTGAAGGACTGAATGCTTAATTCAATTAATTTCATTAAAGGCTGATTTGTAATATAATAAAAAGATGTTAGCACCATGTTTCTCTGAAATAATGCTTATACAGAAATTAAACATAAATTCTTTTCTGTTGGTAGACATAGAAGGTATAAAAATGTGACACAACTAGAGAAGGTCTGATAAATGCTTTTATTGTATTTCCTCTGAGCTACAGAAGTCTGAAGAAAAATTAAACCTAAGTAAGCACAAGTGCAGTTGGTACTGCATTAGACAAGTTCTCAGAACGTGTATTACTTTGTGAAACTAATACGCGGGTATCTTAATAATGTTAATTCACAAGGTTTTACAAACACTTCTAATTACTAAATTAAGCTCTAAGAATTAGAATTCAGCTAGTAGAAACTGAACCACTTTTATTACAACTGAACACGATAAGATACATTTTAATACATTTTACTAGAAGGGTATCTAACTTGACTGCTTAAATAAAGAACCATAAATGAAAGTTCTCCATAGTGTTTTCTAATTCTTGCCACAACACCATGTTTTTTTAAACCTTCATAAAGTGAAAAATGAAAAAGGAAAAGTGAATTTTTTTCAGTAGAGAAGCAGAACAGCAGTTAATTTCTACAAAAGGTCCAACTAAAAATGTCAGTTCAAATCTGAGACAACCTTATCCTTGCAAAGTAAAAATAAACATTTTTTGGCTACCCTAAAGAAAAGCCTACCAGGATTGCACAGGAAATAGTCAAATGCCTGCTTAAGATCTTTAACTTTCATATATATTTCATATATATTTAAAATATATAGACAATATATTAACTCTTGAAACAATTTTACTCTATTTACTCAGATCTTCAATCTGAGTATCTCTGTGGTCATTTGGGCAACTCTGAGTCATCAAATTTTATTTTTCAGAGTACAACACCTTTGCCTTTACTAAAACTACGAGAGCACTTTTGAAGCCACATGATGCCCTCACTGGGACTCTGAACCCAAGTAAGCCATCAGTACCATTCAGCTGGGCAACTTTCCCCTCATTCATCATTTATATATTTATTGGTTGTATAAATATCCCAAACTAGCTTTGACTGAGGTTTTTGCAGCCCAGTATGTATTTCCTAAAGAACATTTTGCTTGAAATAGAAGAATTGTGAGAGTGCCCCGTAAAAGGAGACACTCGAATTGTGTTGATAACCTCTTTTCCGAGGGACACTTTCTAGGGTGCCCATGACTTGTAATAAGGCATATACAGTATGCATTTGAAGTTAGTTTTTAAGAGGGAAGGCTTCCTGGAATGACCTGGAGGGTTCTTTATGCCTTCTGTGAGTACTTCCTAGGCTTCCAGATTTGATTAAAAGCAGCATTTTCCTTTTGGAGTCATTGGGAGATACAGAGGTATCCAGATAAGTGGACGTGCCACCTCTGATCTCAATCTGGCACCACACAACTGCAGACATAATCTTTGCACAATGCTAATCTCCGCTCATCTGAAAAACTTTTGATTACCTCTACTGGCATGGATGACAAAATATTTCAGTCTCCACTGTGTCGTTTCAAGGTTACTTTGATCCACCTAATTGGTACCTTTTCACCTGTTTACCTAATTGGTACCTTTTCACCTGAGTTTTCTTTTTTTAAAAAAAGATTTATTTATGTGTACAGGCCAGAGCTGTGGAGTGGCGGTGGTGGTGAGAGGACTCACCAGAAACAGAGTGGGGAGCAGAACAGGCAGACTGATAAAATACACTGCTGAAGGGAGCAGCAGGCAAGACAGAAGAGGTCTGCCAGGCCATGTGGATCAGCTCCCTGGCTGAAGTGGCTGTGGCTAGCTTGTAGTTCTGCGCTCTAGCCCACTGCATCACCAGGAAGGGCCCTCACCTGAGAGGTTTTGATCAAGATTCCTCCACTAATTGGAGCATGCCCACCTGGTTTAGCTAAATTGTACTCGTGTTTCATAGTTCAGTTTGGAGTAGCTATCTTTTCCTTCAAGAAGCCACCTTGAGCTTGGTCCCTCCATCTACTGAACTCAGAGCACACCTGTATTACAGTACTCACCCTACTTCTTGTCTGTTTCCTCTGCTACCACTACCAGTACCTAAAATGGTGTGCACACCATTGCTATGATTTCCTTATGTGGCATAAAGGAGATGTGAACTAGGCAACATTCTTCAGGTGGGAAAGCTGAGGCCCACGGAAGTCCACGTGCACAAGGTTCTCTGGGTGGGAAAGGAAGGAACTCCAGTCATCAGGTAACGAAGCCCCACGGCTCAATGGATTCTGCAGTAGTAGATGTGGGGCTTCCTGGGCCTGAACAATGAAAGTTTAACACCTGCTGGTTGGGAGAATGATCAGAGCAGTAACCAGTGAGTATCTGTTACAGGGAGGCTGGGGACTTGACTTCTAACACTGTCCACTGAATAATGCTGGCTTGGGGGTGGTTCCCATTCAACTGCAGCAAAAAAGCCCCCCCCCCCTTTCTTCCCAGATGTTCTTCATAACCATTATCTGGGTGCAAAAACAAAACCAAGCCCCTCCTCAAACAAACAAACAAAAAACAAACCACAAAAAACCAAACAGTTACTGAGCAGCTACGGGAAACTTTTACTTTGTTGCAGTGACAGAAGCACACATAAACCTCATATTTAGAGGAAGGAGCAACACAGTTATCCTAAAACACACTAATCTGATTTATTTTTGGTGACAAATTACTCAAAGTAAGATCATCTTTTGGTTTTTTACTTAAATATTGATTATCAAGACAGGAAGGTTTTGTAATTCATAAGGAAAATCTATGCTTGTATGTTTCAAATTTAGTCCAAAAAAATTAGGCCTAAATAAGGAGCCACCAGGATACTCTTGCCAAAAGTGAAATTATAATGCTAATATTTACAGAGTACTCTGTCCTCAGGCACTCTCACATACATTATTTCTTTTTCTGATACCTTTTAGAAGGCCCACTTGTAAATTACCATTCATCCATTTTACAGGAGAGGAAACTAAGGCTTACAGAGGTTACAAGGATCTTTACATAGTTTCAGCTTTAGGCGCCTGCAGCCACCAAGCCCCATTCACTACACTAAGCTTCTCCGATTTTGAAGATGAGACACAAACTCCCTTTCCAAGTCCACTTTCAAAGCAAGACTATGGCCCAGGCTGGGGAACCGGTGGCTGGTTCTGCCCCATTTACCAACTCAGGCATTTAACACACTTGTACCACGTTAAGAGAAGACAAATGCCTCTTTGCTGTTTCCCTTAACACAGCACTCAACTGCTTGTTAGTGGGAGTTACCATTCCAAGATTTCAATCTGCAAGGTCAGAGTTTGGGCAATTTAAGACAAACGCCGCATGGGATTGGCAGACTTACCTTTTGATCCCAGAGCTATACCGGCGCGAGATCCGCATTATAACACCACTTTCACAGCTGATGGGAGCATTGCATAAACCTTTACTGCTCTCCACTTCCGCTAAGTCTAAATCATCAACTCACTTCGGACCAACGCCTTACCTAGCACATTTTCAAAAATCCTGGAGCTTCGCGAGTACCGCCCGGGAGCACAAATCTTACATTGCTGTCATGAGTTTAGCCACCTCAAAGGCAACCTTCCAGGTGGGGATCCTCCAGCAATTGCTAGTCTAACTCTGGATCTCCCGTGTCACATGCAGAGGTCGATTTCACACCCATCCACCCACAGTCACCATGTGCGAAGTTTAATCTTGAGTTCGCCAAAAGACATTTTCCTTTTTCCTTAAATGAGAAAGATTTGGACCTGTGCTCCTGCCAGGATGCCCAGCGCTCAGGACCTCTTCCCGGTGGGCGCCCCGATGCCGCCCGGGCGGAACCCACCCGGAGCAGGAACGCCGAGCCCCTCCAGGTGTAGCTGCCGACTGCAGGCCACGCCGCCCGCGGCCGCCTGGGACTTGGAGGCCGAGGGCGGAGGCGCGGCCGCCG